AATAGAAAAAGGAAAAAATAGGCTTCCTTCTATCATTCCAAAATTCAATAGGAAAGGTTTCAGTATTTCACCATTAAGTACATTGTTTATTTACAAATATTTTTAAAACTACAATAACCAATTAAGAAGTTTCCCTCCTATTTATACTTTGCTATCATTTTCACTATGAGCAGAAATTACTGAAATAAACAATAGTTACTGGGCTCAATTTATTAATATTTTGTTTAAAATTTTTGCAGCTGTATTCTTGAATGAAATTAACCATTTTTCCCCCCTTCTAGGTTATGCAGGCACCACAAAAAGAGGTGGAGGACTTACGTTCTTTTTCCATTTTATGAAAGAGTTTACTTATAAAAGATCACATTATTTTCCCTTAAATATTTGGATGGGATTCACCCATGAAACCATATGGGCCTACAGTTTTTTTTGAAGGAAGGTTTTTAAATTATGGATTCATTTTATTTAGTAATTGTAGGACTACTTGGATTTTCTATTTCTCGTTACTAAAGTAACTTGTCCACTGTTGCTATTGAGATGTCATCTGCATTTCTGTTATTTCTTTGTGAGAGATCTGTCTTTTCTCTCTGGCTTCTTTAAAGAATTTCAGTTTACATTTGGTCTTTTTGGTTTTTTTAAAATCTATTGCTTTTGTAGTTCTTTGAAATTGTTAAATCTGAGGATTGGTGTCTTTTTTTCAATTCTGAAATTGAAAAAAAAATGTTCAGACATTGCTTCTTCCTCATCCTGATGATTTCTACTAGAAATGTGATGGAAGCTGTTGGACTCTCTTTCTCTGGCCTGCACGTCCGTAGCCTCTCTGTTGCATATCCTACCCTTTGCTTCTCTGGGCTCTATCATGGGTCATTCCTGGTGATCCGTGTTCTGTACTCAGTCATGTCTGACTCTTTGCAGCCCTGTGGACTGTGGCCCGCCAGGCTCCTCTGTCCATGGGATTCTCCAGGCAAAAATACTGGAGTGGGTTGCCATGCCCTCCTCCAAGGGGTCTTCCCAACCCAGGGATCGAACCCAGGTCTCCAACATTGCAGGCGGATTCTTTACCATCTGAGCCACAAGGGAAGCCCAAGAATATTGGAGTGGGTAGCCTATCCCTTCAGCAGATCTTCCTGACCCAGGAATTGAACCGGGGTCTCCCGCATTGCAGGCAGATTCTTTACCAGCTGAGCCACAAGGGAAGCCCTCTGTTGATCTATATAGTTCACTGATTCTATCTTCACATTTGCATAACATACTCTTTAATCCACTTGTTATTTTTACTTATTATATTTTCCACTCTAAAAATTTCTTTTTCAAACAAGCTTCATTCATTTTCATAGTGTAATACTTTATTCTCATGATTTAAAATTTGTTTGTAAAATTTTATTTAACTATATCAATCACATTCATTGTATTTTCCACACATAATAATTTTCATTATCTTGATTTTTTTGTGAATCTACTTCAGCTGATTCTTATTTCTACTGATTCTTACTCATGTTTCTGGGTTTATATTATTATTTACTAGATAATGCCATAATTTCTTGTTATAACTTTGAAGAAAAAGAAATCTGCCATTTAATTATTTCTTTGGGAGTTTCAACATTTCTTCATTCTTTTCCTGCAGGTAGGAAACATGTAGTCGCATTCTCAATCCACATAGTTAGTCCAGTAACGACTTGCTGTCTTAGCCTCCTAGAATCAAAAAAGGAAAAAACTACATATAAACTCTGAAGGCAAAGAGCTGTGGGTCTGTGCCCTCACCTCTACTATAACTGCAGTTCTTGGCTATTTGCTCTTCTTCACCAGGAACTGGGGAGAAGTTCATGCCCCTTCACCCTCCTCCTGCCGTCTTCATGGGAACATCCATATCTTCCGGCTGCTCACCCGTCTAACTCCTGACACCGCAGTGACCTTCACCCCCACTCCATATCTTCCGGCTGCTCACCCGTCTAACTCCTGACACCGCAGTGACCTTCACCCCCACTGCATATCTTCCGGCTGCTCACCCGTCTAACTCCTGACGCCGCAGTGACCTTCACCCCCACTGCATATCTTCCGGCTGCTCACCCGTCTAACTCCTGACGCCGCAGTGACCTTCACCCCCACTGCATATCTTCCGGCTGCTCACCCGTCTAACTCCTGACACCGCAGTGACCTTCACCCCCACTCCATATCTTCCGGCTGCTCACCCGTCTAACTCCTGACACCGCAGTGACCTTCACCCCCACTCCATATCTTCCGGCTGCTCACCCGTCTAACTCCCTGACACCGCAGTGACCTTCACCCCCACTGCATATCTTCCGGCTGCTCACCCGTCTAACTCCTGAAACTGCAGTGACCTTCACCCCCACTCCATATCTTCCGGCTGCTCACCCATCTAACTCCCTGAAACTGCAGTGACCTTCACCCCCACTGCATATCTTCCGGCTGCTCACCTGTCTAACTCCTGACACCGCAGTGACCTTCACCCCCACTCCATATCTTCCGGCTGCTCACCCATCTAACTCCCTGAAACTGCAGTGACCTTCACCCCCACTCCACTGAGGTCGGGCGCTCATACTCCTGCCTTCAGGCACTGCCGGAGCCGCTTTGAGTCTAATCTTCAGCCCAGCATCCTGCTCTGTCCCCAACCTCCCACCTCGGGCATCTCCTGCTTTCACTCCCACTTTAACTTGTTCTTCGGTCTCCTGGGAACTACACCCGCTAGCTTTCCGGGCAGAGAGAAGACAGGAGCCAACCAGAACACGGGACATCTGACTTGCTTGTTCCAGGGTCAGCGGTGCTGTGGTCATGCCTGGAGAGGCAGGCTTACTCCTCGGTTGTTCTGGAAGGTTACTCCTGGAGGAAAGAGATTGTATTTACCAACAGTGAATCTTCTGATAAAGAAATCAATCCCATTTACAATAACATCAAAGATAATTAAATACTTGGGAACAAATTTGGCCAAAAAGATGAAAGCTATCTACTCTGAAAACTGCAAGACTTTGATGAAAGAAAGCTAAGAAAATACAAATAAATGCAAAGCTATCCCATGTCCATGGACCGAAAGAATTAATAAATTAAATTAAAATTAATAAATTAAAATTAATAAATTAAAATGTTAATGTTACCAAAAGTCATCTAGATTCAACTCAAGCCTCATCTCAGGAATTCCCAGGCCCCGCTCCCAGAATCCTGACTTTCCCAATCTCTCCATAAGGCCCAGATCTGAGTTATGGTGGCTTCTTTCAGAGCAAGGGGCCTTAACAAAAACAAGAGCTCTGTTCATTTCTCTCCAAAAAGACAAGAGGAGTTGACCAGCTAGCAAAGTAGTGAGAAACAGGAGCCCAGTGTCTCGTCTTGGCTTTCCCGTGTCTGCCGCATGAAGCTGGGCTCATGCCAAAAGCATCTTTCTCGAAGACACAATCAGACAAGACCAACAGACAGGCTGCAGCTGAGCTTCTCCTCATCAGAGGCCACCTCACCAATGTGGCTCCAGCTGGAAACCCAGACCTCCCCTTCACTGTTTATGAGGCTGTCCTCATCGCTCAGCGGGTGAAGAATCCACCTGCAGGGCAGGAGACCTGGGTTCAATCCCCGGGTTGGAAAGATCCCCTGGAGAAGGGAAAGTATTCTGGCCTGGAGAGTTCCATGGACTGTATAGTGCATGGGGTCCCAAAGAGTTGGACACAACTGAGTGACGTTCACTTTCACTTTGGGAAAGGTCATACCTGGCATAGAGGGACACACTCCATCGTCCACTAGACGTGCATCACCATCTCAATGGACGCAACCAACGGGCACAGAGCCCTGGGCAGTCAGGAGCTTGTGCCACGAGCAGGCGCTATGCGCGCACCTTCCCTGCACTGCCAGGTCCATCTCACAGCAACCCTGGAGCAGGGCCCCTTGTACCCGCGGCACAGAACGAGGACATCACGGGCGGGCCTCCCTGAGGCCACGTGGGGAGACAGGGTCAGGCAGGACCGGAGCCAGGCACGCCCCGCCTCCGAGTGAGAAGCGGGGGGCACGGGCATTGCACTGACTTTGTAGGTGGAAAGCCGAACGAGGAGGAGCTCACCTATTCATTCATTCGGGACAAGTCATAGATTCCCCTCTGCGGGCCAGTCACTGTTCCTGGAGTAGGAGACTCTGCAGTGACCAAGACAGCTCTTGCCCACATGGGGGGATGGTGGGGGGAGAGAGGAGGGTGTAGATCATAAGCCATTATCCCTCCCTCCACGGTGACGAGAGGAGGAAAACACCAGCTGGGAAGGATGGGGGAGGAAGGGGCCCAGTGCGGGCCCTGCTCCCCGCTACCGGCATCCTAGAAGTCTTCCTGGAGGAGGTGATATTTGGGTTGAGATCTAAAGTGGAGCCACAGTCTGCAATCTTTCAAGTCTCTTTCCTCTCCCCCGCCAAATTCTTCTCAAAAACAGCAGAGGTTTTGAAGAATGGATAAAGATGTGGCACATACAGAGAATGGAATATTACTCAACCACTAAAAAGAATGAAATACGCAACAACACGGATGGGTTTGGAAACTGTTATGCTGAATGAAGTAAGTCAGACAGGGAAGAAGGAATATCATATGACATCCCTTATACACCAAACCTGAAAAGAAATGACATAAATGAACTCATTCACAAAACAGACGCAGACTCACAGACTTAAGAGAATGAAGTTAGAGTTGCCAGGGGGACGAGGCAGTGAGTTTGGGACGGACATGTACACACTGCCCTGTTTACAACGGGTAACCAACAAGGGCCTCCCGTCCAGCGCAGGGAGCTCTGCTCAGTGTTACGGCAGCCGTGATGGCGGGGGCGTTGGGGGAGAACGGATACATGTATAACAGATGTATGGATGGATCCTTTTGCTATTAACCTGAAACTATCACGACGTGGTTAATCAGCCATACTCCAATACAAAATAAAAAGTTTTTTTTTTTTAATAGCAGGGGTTGTTCTGTTTATTTTTTTGTTTGTTTTGAGTATTTCTCATTTCCGGCGTTTTTCTAGACCACTCACATGCCACCCAGCGCTGCTGCGTGTCTTCTTGCCTTCTCACTGGAATCTTTCTTCCCGCTGGCCAGGCTGTCGCGTCCCAGGAAGACGAGAGGCCGGGCTTCGTGCTGACGACCAGCAGCCTGGCGGGCACCCTCTGGCCGCCTCTCCGGGGACCGCACCCAGAGCTGCCCGTGTCCACTGGGGAACGCGGGGTCCCACTTTGGGAAGCAAGTGTCATTTTTGTGGTTATGGTTTTCATTTCATTCAAAATGTGACAAATAACTTTTAAAACAGATCTTGGTACAGTTGGACCAGCAATAAAATGTGTATTCAGATTTTCATTATACGCTATTTGATATTTTGGAAGATAATACCTTATTGCTATTAATAAATAATGATTATAAATACCACTGAAGTTCCCGAGTTCATCTTGTCTATGATCGCCTGCTGAGGGGTGGGGACCTTTGCTGGGTCATGAGAGTGGATGGAGAAGAGAGGCAGAAAACTCAAGAGCACAGAAAGGCAGGTGGAGTTCTGGCTCTGCATCGGTTCTAAATTAGAGTCAAGGTAGATCTGTGTCTCTAAAACCAGAACTAACGCCTCTGTCCTCTGGTCTCATCAAGACCCAGAATGCAGATGGACGTGCCTTCATCCTAGGGTATAAACGGTGGCCGCTGCTTCCAGGCAGCCCTCCTGGATGCATCAGGACTTGCACCGCACAATCTGCTGACCTGCAGCAGTGGGTGGGGCAGGGGTGTACCATGCAGTGGTGGCGCCTGCCCACCCACCCCACCCAGATCGGGGACAGAGCCTCCCTGCGCGCCTCCCAGACCGAGCCGACACTGACCAGACCGCCGGCTCTGCTGTCCACGCCTGCATCTGCACACCGGTGGCTCGCCTCCAGCAGGCTGCTCGGGATCGCACCAAACAGGGGAAAGCAAACACAGAAGGAGCTGTCAGGCTCCTTGCCTTGAGCACACAGCGCCCGTTGTGAGGACGCCTGGAGGCTTTTCCTGGCTGGAAGCTGAGCGCACGCACTCCTCGTGGAAAAAGCAACAGTAAACCAGTGGGGAGACGGCGTCCCCGACCCCGTGCAGCGTGCGTCCACGTGTCGACCGTCTACACGGCTTCTGTGTGAAGCATACTGAATCCGCCATCATTAGAGCCCATTTTCCTCCTCCTCCAGAGCGTCAGTAATAAAGCCTGGCACAAACTGCGCCTGAATGCAGAAAGTTAGGGGCTGCAGGAGAGCGCGTGGCTGGAGGCAGCCTCCCTGATGCGGGTGAGGATGTGGTCCCCCAACCTGTCCCCCCAGCCCGGGCGGGCAGCCCGCTGCTGTGGCCCTGGGAGTCCCCACTGAACCCGCTCTCTAACCTGCAGACCTGATGACTCAGAGGCCCATGAGGGACAAGGGACCCACGTGGCCAGTGGCCAGGCCCCAGCTGGCCCCACCAGCTGCCACCTCTCTGCCGATGCTGACAGGGGCAGCCTTTGTCACCAGGCCGTGTCCCGTCTGCCTCTCATCTGCATCCTGGAGGGCCTGGGAAGATGGGGCCGGAGGCCAGGAGACCGTGGTCTCGTGGGGAATTCGCTTCAGGGTGCTGGGACCAGAGGGTTATGCTTGGGGCCCGTTTCGGACCCCACGGGGACGGTGACAAGGACGTGTCCCATCTCAGTGGCTGTCAACAGCCCCCCATGCCCTTTCCCCTGGTTCTCACAACAGCTCCTCCAGGACATGGAGTGATGGGGGTTGTCACTGGATTTCTGAGGAAACAGACTCTAGCCCCTGTGGGAGAACTGCCCAGGGTTACCGCTCCCAGCGGTGGTCCTAGACCCCCAGGGCTTCATCCTCCCTTCCCGGAGAGGTCAGAACAGCTGAAGCAAAGTACAGGCGACCCCCTGCCCCAAGGGCGAGATCCGGGGGGTGGGCGCCAGTGGCGGGGTGCAAGAGGGGCTCCCTGGCACCGGTGCCCGCATGCTGGGACGGGACAGGTGTCTGAAAGCCCGGCCTGCTGTTTGTCTTCTGTACACACAACACTGCAAACACCCAGGAAGAAACAAACACAGCCTTTCTCCCTCCTGGGGAGCAGCTGCTTGACAAACTGCTTTCCTCGAGAAAGTGCTCAGGCCTGTGGGAGGACACAGGATAATTAGAAGACACGGTGCCTGCCTTTGAGGTCCTTACAGAGCTCACACAGCTGAAGAATGCAACTGGCTGAAAGGTGGTTTCAGCCCTGGCTTAGGCAGGAACCCGGGAGTGAAGGGGAGGCATCCTGGAGGGCTTCCTGGAAGTGGTGATTTGTGGACAAGAAGGGGAGGTGAAGGGGACGGGTCGACCCAGTCTCAGAGAGGGGAATTCTCCTGATGTCCGAAGTAGGTGGGAAAGGAGGCTAGCAAATGTTTTAGCCGGACGCACAGCAAAACACTGCTTGGGGTGCTCGGATACCCTCTGCAGATCCATGGTGAGGTGGGAGCAACTTCTTGCACTGAGCCTGGTCCTAGGGCAGAGCAGGGCAGCCTCGGCTCCCCCCAGCTGGAGCTGAGACCGTGGGTCCAGGACCCCTCCCCTGGGCCGGGGACGCAGGCTCATGTGACTCCTAGGGTTTTACAGTCTCGCTTTCCAGATGCTCCGTGGGGATGTCGCCAAGCCCGTCACCCTCGCGGCTCAGGAGTGGTAGGCCCTGAAGAGCAGCCAAGAGCTTCCCGGAGGGTGTCGGCTCCGGCCTGGGTGTCAGGGCGCAGAAGTGAGCCGTCCTGCTGACCTCGGCTCTGAGCTTGGCTACAAACTCGCCAACTTAGCAAAGACCTTTTTTCCCACCAGATGGGTGGTCCTTAGTCATCTGTGTTTCTAAGCATCCAAAATCGTTATGTCTGCGTGTGCATAATATGAGAAAATGTGAGCAAAATAAAGCAACGAGGCAAGTGAGGGGTTTTGAGAACTTAGCCCGGCATCTTCAATTTAAAACTTTGCAGCTTTTCTTCACTAGGAAAGTGAACAGAGTGTCTCCTATGCACACAAATTAAAAGCGAGTTGCTCCCTGGAACCAGACCTTGGCTTCCGGGGGTGCTGGTGTTGCCTGCGGACCTGCCACGGAGCTGCCCCTTCCCGCCTCCTGCGCTGGTCATGGATCAGCCAACAAAGAGGAGACCTCGAACGTCCCCTTCCAGCCTCGTGCGTCCTGCTGAGCGTGCTAAGTCACTCAATCATGTCCGACTCTGTGACCCCATGGACTGTAGCCCACCAGGCTCCTCTGTCCACGGGATTTTCCAGGCAAGGATACTGGAGCGGATTGCCATTTCCTCCTCCAGGGGATCTTCCCAACCCAGGGATCGAACCCATGTCTCCTGCACTGGCAGGCGGTTTCTTTACCACTAGTGGCACCTGGGAAGCTGTAATTATTGGGACTGGTTTAATACGAACAAAGAGAATAATATTTTGAAGATATCCAGCCAGCCTCTGATGGGACAGGACAGATAGCCGGCTAACAGGAGCGGAGGTCTCCCAGGCTGAGTGTCACTTGCTGCACAAGAGCTTTGGGACAGGAGCTGCGTTTGCATTTCCGAGGCCAGACCACACCCTTCCCGTATATATCGCCATTTCCCCCAACTCTCGGCCCTGATTAAAGGAGGGGAGAAAATCACTTACACCCCTAAATTGCAACAACAAAGGCTGGGTTTCTCTTTTCAATCAAAACAGCAGGGCGGCCTGATTCAAATGCTAATCGCAGGGCCTGAATTGGCCACTAAGAGAGGGAGACACGTCTCCCTGCAAATGACCACAAGGCCACTCCTTCCCCCCAAGAACCTGCGGGACCCGCCCAGTCAGACGGCTGTGAAATCTGTGAAGTCACTTAACGGGAAACAGTGTCCGGCGTGGCCAGCTCCAGGAGCCCGTTCCTGGAGAAGAGAAGAGGGCCTCCAGTTTGAACAAAGCTCATCTTCTCCCCGTTACACATCCGGGAAGAAGTGACAAGATCTGGTGTGACTCTGGGCACGGCGCTGGTGTCCACACCTCTGGGCGCATCGTTGGGTGTCACAGGAGGGGCCGTTCACAGAAGGGCGTCCCCCCCGGACGCCAACTGAGCAGTCAGGGCGAGGCTGGTGCGGGGTGCCAGTGGGCCCCACAGGGCACACATGTACTCCCGCCTGGGGAGGCAGACCCAGGTCTTCTCTTCCCGAGACCGTCCCCCTAAGGACTCAGGGTGCAAGGAACACACAGCACAGAACCAGGCCCAAGGCCACGCCCTGAACGGCAGGACTTGAACTGGGATCATCTGGCCCCAAAGCTGCCCGTCTCCAGCTCACCCCCCTTCCCCGGCAAGCAGAGCGCTGGGATGCAGGATGCTGGTGGGAGGACTGGGATGGGGGGATGTGGCTGTGGGGAGCACAGTGGAAGGAAGGCCACCTCAGAATCAGGATGAATTAGGACGACAGCAGCCAACTCTCGACCTGCAGCCTTTTCCAAGAGAGAATTCCAAAGTCTCGCCTCATAGAGAGGTTTTGAAACCTCAGCCTCTCTCTGCCGTGATCACAGTATGGGTCTGTTTTTGCAGGGTTGGGAGGGTTTAAATCAGAAAAACGTGTTTTATACATTTACTTTTTAAAAGTGAGTTTGGGTTGTGCTGCTCTTTGCTGCAGTGTGCTGGCCTCTCGGTCTACGGCGTGCGGGCTTAATTGCCCTGTGGCATGTGGGATCCAAGTTCCCCCACCAGGGATCCAACCCGTGTCCTCTGCGTTGGAAGCTTGGAGTCAACCACGGGATTTCCAGGGAAGTCCCATGTTTGAAAACAAAATGGTTGACTGGGCATCAGACACTTCTATGAATACAAAAATCTGGAAAACTGAAGTTTGAGGTAGGGCTGAGAGGTGTGCGTGCAGGCAGCCTGCCCCCAGAGAAGAGGCGCAGAAGCAGCCCCTGTGCACGCCTGACCAGCGTCTGATCAGCGGCAGCATCTTCCTACACGTGGGACCAGGGCCCCTCGGACGCGCAGAGCTGCCACGCTAACTCGCCCGGCCCACGGCCTCGTGGCCTGCTCTTAGATTTATAGTAGCTATTGTTTAGCTGTAAATCAACCTAGAAATTATATGTCAGTGTAAACAAACACCTTTTCACATACTTCATCAAACTCCTACTTTGATGTTTAAACATGTTAGCATCAAACTGTCAACACAGCATGGACTGTATTTTCTATATGACTAAAATGAGTGATTGAAGAGCTGATTGAAAAGAAAAAACAACTATGTATCTTTTTAATATTTGCTTTTGGGTAGCCCTTATCCACCCATTGGGCTTTCCAGGTGACACAGTGGTAAAGAATCCACCTGCCAATGTAGGAGACTCAGGAGGCTTGGGTTTGACCCCTGGGTCAGGAAGATCCCCTGGAGGAGGGCATGGCTACCGGCTCCAGTGTTCTTAGGTGGAGAAGCCTGCGGACAGAGGAGCGTGGCAGGCCTCAGTCCTTAGGGTCCCGAAGAGCTGGACACGGCTGAGTGACTGAGCACACACACCCACCAATCCCATGCTTGTGCACGTGTGGGCCCTGCACCCACCAGGTGGCCAGCTGGGGCGCCTGGCTCTCCAAGCGCCGCACTCTCTCGGCCTTGGTGTGTGCCTGGACTCGGCTCCATTCTGCGGAATCGGCATGTTTGGTAGGAGCAACGCTGAATTTAAATCTGTATGAGTAAGAGGCTTTAACAATTTGCAGTCTCGAGGGAGGGGTTATGCAATCCTCTGAGCTAACCATCCCTTTCTCTCCTCTCTACCTCCACCTCTTATAGTCCAGACGACCCCCAAAGGACAGGAGTTACTTTTGTTTAGTTTCTAGACTTACATTATGCTAGTTACTCCACTCCAGTATTCTTGCCTGAGAAATCCCATGGACAGAGAAGCCTGGAGGTTTACTGTCCATGGGGCTGCAAGAATCAGACACAACTTAATGACTAAACAACAACAACAAATTCTCATTGATTAGATTTTATGATGCTTCTTTTGCTGGGAAATAGTGGTGGTACCATATTGTGTAGTGACAGTTCTTTCATACCTCTGTGAAAACACCATGGATGTGATTGTGCAAAAGGTATCTAAAATAAGCATCCATGTATATGTTAGAAAGAGACTTACCTCCTGGAGAACTCCATGTTAGCGAGGGAAGTGGAATACATCTGATGTAATCGACTAAGATATCTTTTACTTTGAGAATCCTTCTTATCTGATTGACAGATAATCTTGTCCTGAAAGAAATGTTTTATTTTTATTTTTTGTGTCTTACCTCTGAAGCTAGAATTTAAGGCTGTTAAAGATGGGTCTTTATTCCCCTTTATATTTCTAACGCAGGGATTCATGTATTACACACAGTCAGTGTGCACTGTGTTGCTGAAATAAGGAAGAACCTTTGCAATCTATTACAAGTTAATCTCTAAAGGGGCGTTGACTGTAAATTTAGATTGCACATAGCGGCCCATCTTTGGGAACCTTGTCTTGCAGGTTAGGAGCATTAAGCTAAAATGTCTTCACAGGAATCATGATGACCAAGCCCATATGTGAATGGCTGCACGAAGGAATAACACATCCCCACAGGAGGCTGCCTGGAACCACCAAACGTTTGACTTTCCTCCCTCCCCGTTTAGTATAAAAGAAGCCTGACTTCTAACTCAAGCAGGATGGTTCCTGGGGACCCGAGTCTACCATCTTCTCGGTTTGGCGCCTTTTCTTGCCCCTACAACTCGTCTCCCAATTAACTGGCCCGTGTAGTACGAGCTTGGACTCAGTATCATTCACTATGTTGCATAAACCTAGCAGTTACTCTCCGAATTTTATATTTGTAATGCTTTTGGATCTATGTCAAAATATTCTGGGTATGCTATAAATATTAATACTTAGACTTCCCTGCCTTGGCCTTCCAGTGTAAACTAGTTGACAAGATAACATTAATGCCACTGGACTGCAGAAACATCTCACAGACAGCGGTCTTCCAGGCTAAGACTTGTACAAACCAAAGCACGTTATTTAGCACAGGGTAATTAAGGGTAGTATTAAGTACAGCATTTGAGACATTTTAAAAATCCAAAAATAGTGATGTAACTTATATCACCCTAAGTGTAGAAGAGTCGGACACGACTGAGCAACTGAACTGAACTGAACTGAACTGAAGTGTAGAAGAGGAGAAATTTTAAACTGATATATATATATAGAAATAGCCAGAAAGCTAAAGTCCTGGGTTGGCCAAAAAGTTCATTTAGGTTTGTCTATAAGATGACAAACCCAAACGAACTTTTTGACCAATCAATAAAACCAACTGAATGCCAAGAGATAGAATATCAGGTTAGAGAAAATTCCAAACAGATGAAACCAAGGAACAAGTAGGACCAGGAAGGTGGAGGAAGGGAAGGACTCGGAAATCAGCGCTGCGGGGTTGAGTTTTCAGACCCCTAGGCCTTGGTGGGGACGAGCACGGCTCACTTGGAGCCCATTCTCATTCAGGGTGCCAAGGAAGGAGCTGAGCCCATGAGCCATCCCTTAACTTCATGTCAACCAGACCGAGCCGGCACCAGTGGTCACAGGCAGGTGCTCTGATAATATCCAGTGTTTGTCTGATCCTCAGAATCACCGGGATTCGTGGAGGAGTTTGATAACAGCACAGGTTCCTGGGTCCCCGCAGAGACCCACTCAATCCGAGTCTTTGCATGTTTCATAGGTGCCCCAGGTGACCACTGTGACCCACACGTCTGGGGAGGGTCACACAGCTGAGGATGACCCAGGAAGAGAAGCTGGAAATAACGGAAGAGCCAGTCTTTCAGACAGTCCCACCACATACCACTTACTCCTCTGCTTAAAGAATCAGATTTCAAGATAGACTACATTAGTTCCGGGTTTCCCTGGGGGCTCAGACAGTAAAGCATCTGCCTGCAATACAGGAGACCCAGGCTGGATCCCTGGGCTGGGAAGATCCCCTGGAGAAAGGAATGGCTACCCACTCCAGTATTCTTGCCTGGAGAATCCCATGGACGGAGAAGACTGGTGGGGCTACAGTCCATGGGGTCACGAAGGGTCGGACACGACTGGGTGACTGACACTTTCACTGTCATATTAGTTACAGGACGAGGTTTGTGTTACAAGTGAAAGGCATTAGTGTGTGTGTGTGTCCAGTTTGTCTTGTTGGGGTGGTGGCTGTAACCTGGTCCCTAGATTTCTACACGTGAATATTCATGGAATTTTACCCTCTGAACGCGTTGCTAAGAAGATCATCTTCTCAAAGGCCCTGATTTGACTGACAGGAGATGCCCCTGTGTGCGTGCACGTTTCCACGTTTGTGTGCCCAGGAGGACCGCACTGCAGGACCCTTTTCTGAGCCTGGGAGAATTCTGGAGCTTACTCCCTTAAACTTCAGCCTGTAAATGAATTAAACAGAATCCGATGCTAGCTTTCATAACCAACGACAGTAAACCTCTAGGGGAAAGTTTGTGCAGCAAAATTCCAGGAGTTTCAAGAATTCATTCTCGCCCTAAGAAGCTCACATATGGCTCAGATTATCCTGACGCGGCCTTGACATGCTTTTGGGAGATTGAGCCAGTGCATCTGGCTTTGAGGCTGGCTCTTCAGATAGTAAAGATAACCCCTTTATCTCAGGGAAGGGAACGTTTGCTCAGACCTCAGCCGGGGTTTGTGGCTATTCTCATGGTAAAGAAAAGCATTTGTCTGTGGCTTTTCTTTTCTTCTTCACCACCACTGGTTCCTCTGAATTTCACTTTGAACCCCTGACACCTCGGCCTTCTCTCAGGATGATCGGGTGGAATACACAAGGCGCCCAGGGTGGGAGGAGGTGGGGTAGGGGGTGGGGGGGGGCGGGGAGGCGCAGGGATGGAGGTGGGCGGTCCAGCAGGGTCGGAAGGACCCACACACCCCCAGCTCACCTGCTCCAGGCCTCGGGGTCGCCGGGCTGCAGTTTCTCGTTGTTCACGCTGTTTCCTCCATTTCGCAAGCCGAGAAAGAAGGCCCTGAGGAGGAATGTGAGATATCTTTTAATAAATATCCCCCCATGTCACAGTTCACCGACCCTGGCAGCCGAGCATGGCCCTCCGGTTTCCACCACAACTCACAAAGTGGGGATTTCGCCTCAGCATTTTGTACCCGGAAGGGGTTAGTGGGGGCAAGGTGCCTTGTTATTTAAGGCTAGGGTTCCAAACACACAAACGCAGCCCAGTGAGGCAGAGGCCCCCGTCTCGCTGATGCTTCGCCCGGTTTAAGACGTGCGTGCACACCGCCTCTGGTTCCATGGTTCCGTTAGGACGGTTTTGTGTCTCACGCAGAACGCCAGCGATGGCGCTGGGTCTCCTATTCCCTGGTTCGGTAGGAATAGGATGCGTCAGATACAGGACAGTATTGAACGACTTCCTCCATACTGACTTTGGTTCCTCTCGCTGCTGGTTCTGTAAGCTTTCCCAGCACCAGGTACAGGGTCTCCACGGCCGCCTGCCCGGCGTCAGTGTGACGTCAGTGTGACGTCAGTGTGACGTCACTGCCCCCCCCGCCAGCCGGGGGGCGGGGACTCTCCCAGGGGCGGGGCCCACTAGTGGCCCATTTTTCTCGTTACTCACAGGGCCCCAGCATTGCGCTGGGGCCCAAGGCACGCGGGTGAAGGAGGCCCCGTGGCACTCAGGATGCCTGGGGGACCTGGGTGAGTTTGGATGCTCGGGTACCAATCACTGTTCCCAGGACGCGGGACCAGGTCAGCCTGCCCCGCCCTGCTCGGTCCGGCTCCTCTCACACTGGCCCGAAGTGCTGGAGCCAGACGGGCGCCCTGTCTTCTCCAGACGAGTGTCTTTGCCAGAAAGCGTCTGGTCTCTCCCACTCCAGCAGGCCTCCCCTTCCAGTTCTCCAGGCAAAACAGATTCAAAGGTTTTCAAATATTTTATGTCCTTGTTTTTGTCAGATTCTTTTGTATCTCAGAGTTTATAGCATTCTCAGATACGTCTAGATATTGCAGTCTAGATCTGAGGTCACTGACACACCGTCCCTTTATAACCTGTATTCATTTTCTCTGTTCATTTTCGAAGTTTACGCTGCCCTGAAGTGGTCAAGCTGGACGTGGATGAAGCACAGCCTAGAATCAAGATTGCCAGGAGAAATATCAATAACCTCAGATACACAGATGACACCAGTCTTATGGCAGAAAGCAAAGAAGAATTAAGGAGCTTCTTGATGAAAAGAAAGAGGAGACTGAAAAAGTTGGTTTAAGACTCAATATTCAGAAAACTAAGATCATGGCATCTGGTCCCATCACTTCATGGCAAATAGATGGGTAGACAGTGGAAACAGTGACAGACTTTATTTTCTTGGGCTCCAAAATCACTGCAGATGATGACTGCAGCCATGAAATTAAAAGACGTTTGCTCCTTGGAAGAAGAGCTATGACCAACCTAGACAGCACATTAAAAAGCAGAGACATTACTTTGCCAACAAAGGTCCGTCTAGTCAAGGCTATTGATTTTCCAGTAGTCAGGTATGGATGTGAGAGTTGCACTATAAAGAAAGCTGAGCGCCGAAGAATTGATGCTTTTGAACTGTGGTGCTGGAGAAGATTCTTGAGAGTCCCTTGGACAGCAAGGAGATCCAACCAGTCCATCCTAAAGAAAATCAGTCCTGAATGTTCATTGGAAGGACTGATGAAGTCGAAACTCCAATACTTTGGCCACATTTGCAAAGAACTGACTCCTTTGAAAAGACTCTGATGCTGGGAAAGATTCAAGGCAGGAGGAGAAGGGGGCGACAGAGGATGCGATGGTTGGATGGCATCACTGACTCAATGGACATGAGTTTGAATAAACTCCAGGAGTTGGTGATGGACAGGGAGGCCTGGTGTGTTGCAGTCCATGGGGCTGCAGAGAGTCGGACACGACTGAGTGACTGTACTGAACTGAAATGAACTGAAGTGATCAAATCGATCGCCTGCATTTCTGAACAGTTGTCCTTGTTTACAAGTGTTTCATGCCATTATCCACTTTAATCAGAGCACCATTCAACCGCCATATCTGCACGAGAGCCTGTTGGATTTCTTCCGATCTTCAGCTGCAGAAGACTTGTCTGTCTGCAGTTTGTGTCTCAGACTTTTCTAATTCATAACCAGCTGTCAACCAGCTGATGAAGGAACACCTTCCCATGGGTTTTACACATCTTACACAATATCACTGGATCATCCTCGAGAATCAATAAAATGCCAACTTCTGTTTATCTGTTTTCTGTTCTTGGAAACGCACACTGACAATTGACTATAGTTGAAGTTAGCATGGTAATTTTGCTTTCGTTCTATCTTTACTAGCCAGGCTAATATACTGAAAGAAAAATAAAACTAACACTATCTTGAAATCTATGATACTCCCAGGAGGTAAAGTTGGGAGAAAATTTTCTTTTTAACTCTAAGATTTCTCATTTTTTCTTTTTTTGGCTGCGCCGGGTCTTCATTTTGTGTGGGCTTTCTCTGGTTGCAACGAGAGGGGCCCAGTCTTCATTGCAGCAGCTGCTACGGAGCACAGGCTCCAGGAGTTCCAGCTCTAGGAGTTCCATCTTCAGGAGCTGCAGCACTTGCGTTCAGGAGTTGCGGCTCTCGGGTGCTGGAACATGCAGGCTTCAGTAGCTGTGGTGCATGGACTTAGTTGCTCTGTGGCCTATGGAATCTTCCTGAACCATAGATTGAACACATGTCCCCTGCATTGCCAGGTGAATTTTTATCCACTGCACCACCAGGGAAGTTCCCTAAGGTTTTTCTAACTACTTAGTTTGAAAGAATTTCAAATTTATACAAACTTACAGGAATTATACAATGAACTCCCATAAATCCTTTAGCTACTTGTAGCAATTGCAAACATATTTCACATTGTGTCACATTAAATGCATGTTTTATGTCTCCCTTTCTCTCTTTTTACACGTTTTTATATGTATACATATAATTATGCTAATATTATTATTAGTTCACCATTTGAGAGAAAGTTACAGACATAATGGCCCTTTACTCATAAATATTTTATCATATATTTCCCAGTAAAAAGGTCATTCTCTTATACAGCCTCAGTAAAATGACCAGATTTAGGAACTGAATATTGCTGTCATGCTATTATCTGATTTTCAGCCTACATATTACCAACTGGTTTCTCTAGAATGGTATAGTTGTAATGTTTAAGGACATGTTGAGATTCAGTCAACTAAGACAAAGGGATGTTATTAATACTAATAACTTGCTTTCAAAAGTGATCTGTATCATAAAGGGAAAAAAATCTATGTGAGAAACAGATTCTATGGTGACAGACAGGCTCAAGCAACAAAAATTGCCTAAGTATTCAAGAAAATACTGGAAGAATCGCTCTGGCAATACAGATATTAAAACTGGAACAATGCAGAGAAGGTCAGCATGGCTCCTGCACAAGATGATGCATAAATTCACGAGGTGTTCCATATTCTTTTCAGAAAGGAAATAAAGCGTTTAAGTGTTATGGACTGAATTATGTTCCCCCCAGATCCTTGTGTTGAAGCCTTAACCGTCTATGTGACATGTCTGGAGACAGAGCCTTTTAAAAAGTAAGTAAGGTTACCTAAGGATGGGGCCCTAGTCCAAGAAGACTAGTGTTCTTTGGGAAGAGGAAGGGACACCAGGCTGCTCTCACACAAAGGGCCATGTGAGGACAGCTCTTTGCAAGCCAGGAAGAGATCTCTCACTAGGACCTCAACCTGCTGGTGCTTTGATCTTGGCCTCCAGCCTCCGGAACTGTGAGAAATGAACTTCTGTTCTTTAAGCTGCCTGACCTGTGGGGTTTTGTTATGGCAGCTGTAGAAGAGTAATTCACTGGGTAAAAATAGTAGACTATCCTTCTCATGAGATTCTTAAATTAGCTTTGATGGTTGAAGCAAACATTATAACACCATCTGATGTAGTGTTCCATGTGTGCGGAGGAAATACTTAAGACAATTTTATTTTAAAAGAAGTAAGAATTAAAGGACCTAAGTGGGAGTAAACATTCAATATTTCACTCAAAGTGCTAAGATGTTGAGGAGGCCACACTAAGTAACTTAAATATGACATAATATCTAGAACAGCCACTAAGAAAACTACATAGAATGATATGATCAAAAATGTTATAAATAAATAAAAATGGTATTTTAAAACATGCTGAGATAATCGAAAGGAAGTCAAGAAAAGAAAAATAGAGGAATGAGAAACAGAAAAAGCAAAACAAAAATTGAAATGTAAGCAAATTTTTTTAAACTGAAATCATACAGAATTTGTTCTCTGATCACAATGGAGTCACTTCTCAAACCCACAAGTTACCAAAACTCAGCTAAGATGAGAAAGATAACCTTAACCTTAGAAGTCTTAAAACCATGAAAGAAATTGAATTTAGAAATACCCAGTCCCAGATGATTTCACAAGGTAATTTTATCTAACATTTAAGTAAGAATTGGATTTCCCTGCTGGCTCAGATGGTAAAGCGTCTGTTTACAATGTAGGAGACCCAGGTTCAATCCCTGGGTCGGGAAGATCCCCTGCAGGAAGAAATGTCAACCCACTCCAGTATTCTTGCTTGGAAAATTCCATGGTTGGAGGAATCTGGCGGGCTACCTTTCACGGGGTCGCAAAAAGTCGGACACGACTGAGCGACTTCACTTTCTTTCTTTTCTTTCGAAGTAAGAGTTAGCACAAAATTTTATACAATCTCTCCAAGAAAATAGATGAGGAAGAAATATTTGCCAACTCATTTTATGAGGCCACCAGTATTACCCTGACAGCAAAGACCAAAATATGTTCTCCCTTAAAAAAAAAAAAGAATGTACAGGGTAATCTCTCTCATGAACATATACTCAAAAATTCTCAACAAAATATTAGCAAACCCAATCCAGCCATGTATAAAAAGAAATAAAACACCATGACCAAGTAGAATTTCCAAATATGCAAAGCTAGATCAATAGTCAAAAGTCAGTCAGTGTAAACCATCATATTAACAGGCTAAGAAATCCATTGGCACAGACAAATGATTTGAACAAGTTCTGTACCAGTGACATAAAATCTCTCAGCAAACTGGGAATGGAGAGGCACTTCCTCTCCCTCATGAAGAATATCTACAAAACCCCAGAGCCAATATCACAATTACAAGTTGGAGACTGAATTCTCCTCCTTTAAGACTGGAAGTGACGCAAGGATTCCTGTGTTTTTAACTTTAAATTTTAATCGTTCAATGTTGGTATATTGGAAAGTCGATCCCCGTGTATTGACCTTGTATCCAAGAGCCACAGTATAATCATCTGATTCGAGGCCTGCAGGGGTTCTTGGGAAGATCCCCCCTCAGATTTGCTTTTGCAAAGATTTCCTCACAGTTTCTGATTTGTCTCCTCGGTCTTTTAACAGTGTCTCCAGATTCTTCACCACTGCTCCACCTTGGCAGCCTCCCAATGTGAAAGGCAAGCCTATAAAACTTCTAAAAGAGAACACAGGAGGAAAGCTAGGTGACCTTGCTTTGGCAAGGAGTTTTTTAGCTACCACACTAAAAGCAGCACAGTCCATGAAAGGAAAAACTGATGTGCTGGACTTCATTAAAATGAAAAACGTGGGCTCTGAGGGAGACACTGTTAAAACACTGAGGAGACAAGTCAGAGACTGGGAGGAAATAGCTGCAAAAACATATCTGAAGGGGGACTTCCTGGCGGTCCAGGGGTCAAGGCTTTCAGTTTCCACTGCAGGAGGCCCTGGGTTTGATCCCTGGTCAGGGAACTAAGATCCCACAAGCTGCAGCCAATCATAATAATAAGCAAAATGCAAATCAAATCATTAAAAAATATCTGAGGGTTTGCACTGAAAATATACAAAAGATACTTGAAACTCAACAATCAGAAAACTGTATAATGAAAACATGGGCCAAAGATCTTAAAAGACTACTGACTGAGGAAGACATACAAAGAACTGTCTAAAGATGTTCCACATCATGTGACATCAGGGAAATGCAAGTTAAAGCGAGACACCACCACGCATCTGCCAGAACAACCATTGTCTAACCAACGGACTTACTGGACTCAATGTTATGTGGTGGATGGGAGGGGGCTTTGGGGGAGAATGGATACCTGAATGTGGATGGCTGAGTCCGCCTGAAACTATCACAACATTGTTAATCAGCTATCAGTTCAGTCGCTCAGTAGTGTCCGACTCTTTGCAACCCCATGGACTACAGCACGCCAGGCTTCCCTGTCCATCACCAACTCCCAGATCTTGCTCAAACTCATGACTGTCGAGTCAGTGATGCCATCCAACCATCTCACAATCTGTCGTCCCCTTCTCCTCCTGCCTTCAATCTTTCCCAGCATCGGTGTCTTTTCCAATGAGTCAGTTCTTTGCATCAGGTGGCCAAGGTATTGGAGCTTCAGCTTCAGCATCAGTCTTTCCAATGAATATTCAGGACTGGTTTCCTTTAGGATTGACTGTTAATTGGCTATACTCCAATACAAAATAAAAAGTTTTAAAAGAAGAATGGCCATTGCCTGGTCTGGAACACTGACAATTCCAAATGCCGCCCAGGATCCATTCACTGCTGACAGGAACGCAGAACAGTACAGGCACTTTGGAAGACAGTTTGGCATCTTCTGATAGCACTGAACATACTCTGACCACAAGATTCAGCCATCGTTCTCCTTAGTATTTATTCAAAAGAGGGGAATATTTATGTCCACACAAAGACAGATGTTTATAGCAGCTTTATTCATAATCACCAAAATTTGGAAGCAACCAAGATGCTCTATAGTAGGGGATGGATAAATAGTGGGGTCCATCCAGATCATGGAATAAGGTTCAGCACGAAAAAGAAACGAGAAGTCAAACCTTGAAAAGACATGGAGGAATCTTAACATGCATATTCCTAAGTGAAAGAAGCCGTTCTGAAAAGGCTACGTACTGTATGATTCCAACTATATGACATTTGGAGAAAGTAAAAACCAAGGAGACAATAAAATGGTCATTGTTGCCAGGGGCTGAGGAGTAGGGGGAATGAGCAGGCTGAGCATAGGGTTTTTAGGGCAGTAAAACTGCCCTGTATGATACTAATGTGGTAGATACATGGCATTACGCCTTTATCAAAATTTATAGAATGTATACCACTAAGAGGAAGCCCCAGTGCAAACTGTGGACTAGAGGTAATAAATGTGGTAATTTTATCTTACCTTGAAGGGTCTAGGCTAGACTTTTTAACTCTGTCAGGTAGCGATCTAGTAGTTCTTCGTTATCTCAGAAAAGGTCAGCAAATTTGGAACTCTTTCTTTGCATTCATCACACAGTGAAACCTTCCAAGTGTCTCATTCAGAATGGACCAGTAACCTCTGTGTGGTACAAGAGTGCATGGCCAGGACCCATGTCGTGACACCTGTCATTATAACAATCCTCACACAGTTTATGTTTTATTTTTATTAAATTAATCAGATTAACCATGTCCTTCATATCTTTGCCCACTTCTGGATTCCACTCATTTTGCCTGAGTTTGCCTAGGATGATTCAATGAATTAATTTCACATATCATATTGTATGTGGGTTTCCCAGGTAGCTCAGTGGTAAAGAAATTGCCTGCAATGCAGGAGATTCGAGTTTGATCCCCGGGTTGGGAAGATCCCCTGTAGAAAGAAATGGCAACCCACTCCAGTATTCTTGCCTGGGAAATCCCATGGACAGAGGAGCCTGTCAGTCTACAGTCCAAGGGGCAGCAAAAAGTTGGACACGACTGAGTACACACACACACACAGAAATACACACGATTCTGGGTCTATAACTTTGCCCCAGGTTCATCCTCCTTAATTCCTGCCAAAGCTGTCACTACATCAGCAATTGCATTTCCACTGATTTTCCATAATTTTAAAGTTATTGACTCTTTAAGAATATGCCTTTATTGTATACACCATGGATGATATTAAAAAATGTTTTAAAAGTGGTATTGGGCAGACAGACTTCCCTGATGGTTCAGTGGTGAAGAATTCACCTGCCAATGCAGGAGATGCGGGTTCAGACCCTGCTCAGTAAAATCTATCTTAGCTAAGAGATGCGTGTGCCCATTGGGAGGATCTGGAGGTAAACCAAATATGGACTGCAAGCCAGCGAAGTTAAAGCAACTGGCCAGAGAAACCTGGGAGAAATACTCCATGAAAGAAATTCAAACTGCCAGGAGGGCACGACTCAGCAACTCTGTCTCTCCCTGAGTCTGCCCGTGTGTCTATCCATGCCTACTGTACTTTTTTCCTCTTAATGAATTCTTGTTTCACTGTGTTCTGTCTTTTCTGCAAAGCCGAAGGGCCAGGGCCTTGTCACCGACCGCTGGTCTAGCGCTCGGATCTGGGGCTCTCACTGCGGAGACCCCGGCTTCCGTCTCTGGGGGGGAAGCCAAGCCCCGCTCCAGACCTGCCGGCCGAAGCCCCTGGAGATCGGAAAGCCCTTCGGTCCTGACACAAACGCCCGAGTTAGCGGGCGGCGGGAGCCCTCCGCGGATGGAGGTCAGCCTGACTCCCGAGAGTACAGGGTGGTCCAGGATGCCCTCCAGGGGTCCCCCTGCCCAGCAGGCAGGGGGCGGACCCGGAGCAGGACCGCGGCCCCTGGAGCCACCTGCGGGGGAGATGGGAGTGCTGCCGGTGGAAGGGACCGGGGCTGGGGGGACGAGGGGTGGGCTGGGGCCCGCAGCACCCCCGGCGAGGACGGCAGGCAGGGCTCAGAGCTCGGGAAGGGCAGAGTGAGAAGCGCCCTGCCCGCCCCACCCCCGGCGCTTTGCAGGAAGGTTTGTAGACGCCACCAAAGGTAAACCAGGAGTCCCAAACCTCATGCTCATTGTTGACTCAAATTAACCAGTGACTCTCACACTTTTTCCCTTAAGCCATTTTTCCCCCAGTAGAGGCGGCTGACGCGGCTATGAGCGAGGGCCTGGGCCCTTTCAAGCTTCCTGCATCAGGCCGAGCAGAGAGCCGGTGGTGAGCGGTGGGGGTGGGCTGGGCTGGGAGGCCATCGCCTGCGGCTTCCTGCTGTTCCGGTGTTAACACACCTAGGCGCGATCAGAGGCTGCCTGCCCATCCCCGCGCTCTCCACGGGGGAGGGAAGAGTCTAATATCATTAAAAATAAGCTGCAATTTGGTATCGTCGGCAGCTGTGACAGTTGGTTTCGGAGGTGAAGGTTTGTGGAGACCAGTTTGTACGTGCTGTGCTCAGTCATGTCCAGGCTTTGACCCCACGGGCTGCAGCCTGCCAGGCTCCTCTGTCCATGGGACTCTCCAGGCAGGAATACTGGAGCAGATAGCCATTTCTTCCTCCAAGGGAGCTTCAGTTCACTACAAGCCAATTGAGGATATTGCTGCAACTTTTCTATGGAAAATTTCCAGTCATTGTATCTGTCAAGATGTGGTCTCAGACCTGCTGGTTTCAAATGGTCTAGAAATCATTTTGAAGGTAAATGCCATTTCATTTCTCTCCCACATCACATACAGCCCAATATGAAATATCTCACTGAATAGGTAACATGGTCCTACTGATTAACTAAAAGGACAGGGAAAAGGAAATATATATGTGTGGGTACAAGGGCATCTTACATGTCAGACTCTGTTAGAGGCCTTATTGTAATTATCATCTGCTCCAATGAATATTCCATAAACGATGTATGGAGTGTTTGCTGAGACCTGTGCCAGCCATGGTGGACCCGTTGGAGGGCATCACGGATGGGATTCCTGTCCTCAAGAGGTCTGAGTTCCTCAGGGGACACAGATGTCATTAATCAAAGAGTCACAGAAACACACCCGAAACTGCAGGTGGGTGAGGGCTCCTGGGATGTGGACCCCAAAGCTGAGAACCTCGGAGAGAAGGAGGCTGGGGTACCAGGGGAGGGAGGAGGGCCGGGGAGGAGGGAGCAGGAGGAGGGAGAGAGGGAAAAGTGTGTAGGCGGCCCCGGTGAAGACCCTCTTCCTCACTTCGAGACCCAAAGGCCAGTGAGATGGGAGTTGAGGACACAGTGTCCCTCAAGACTGGGGCTTTCATCTTTATCTTAAGAGCACTAGGTCAACACTGAAGTATTTTGAAGAGAAGGCTAACAGGATCCTAGGGGTCCCTTTGAAGTCACTATGCTAATGAGCATGGGTGTAACAAAAAGCAGAGTGGACACAGAGAGGCTGTCAGCCCAGGTGCAGACGATGGTGGCCAGGCCCAGCGTGGGAGGATGCAGGGATGGACAGAAGGCCTGGACCTCGGCCTCCTGGAGTCTGGGGTGTTAGTCACAGGGGTGGGGACCTGGTGGAGGGAAGAGCGAGAGTGTTGGGGGGACAGCCCCCAGGGTTCTGGCCACCAAACCGTCCCTGGGCGTTGCCACACTGAATCCTCAGGGGCCCTTGTGGTTCACCCTGTGGTCACGTGAGTGACCGGGAGTGTAGCTTCTGGTGCTCCCAACAGGCCCGGCACTTCCCCAACCCAGAACCTCCCTGAAACCCACTGGCCCACCCACCAGACTAGGCCTCTACGCTCCTTGAAATACGCCCACAGGCACCAGCGCTGCTTAAGCCAGAGGGCAGGGCCTTCTTGTGTGACCGCGTGGCTCCATCCATCACCAAAGTGACGGTCATCGCGGGTCAGCTGTGTTAGTTCCCTTCCAACGCCAAGTATAGTTACAATTAGAGTTATATAATTTAATGAACTATTTACATACTCTGGAAAAGTATAACTGGAAGGGGTGGAACCACCATGCTGGCTGCTTTGAAAAGACACGATACAGGTAAGTCTCCTAAAAGACCACCAACAGATTGGGTCAAGTGAGAAAACGAAAATGGTCTGAAAAGGATTCTGCATTTAGGTCTGGTGCCAGGGGTGTTTAACTAATCATGTAACCAGAAATCTAAAATGTGAATAGTGCATTCAAGTTGCTGGTGATGCAAGGAAAGTCACAGGAAAATAATTGGCAAACCCAACTTCAATGGAAAAGTCTTGACCCCATCAAAAAGTTGTTGAATGAATCTATGATTGTATCTTTCACTTTAAATGTATTTACATTAAATGAGTCAAGAATAAACCAGCTTTCAATCTTAACTCACTACCAATCAATCCAGATGGTTCTATCAGTTATTATATTCACACCATGACTCTCTAGTGCCCCTTTACTTAATCAGCCAAAATTGATGGTGGTGCTTTAGTCGCTAAGTCGTGTCTGACTCTTGGGACCCCATGGTCTATATCCTGTCAGGTTCCTCTGTCCCTGGGATTTCCCAGGTAAGAATACTGGAGTGGCTAGCCATTTCCTTCTCCAGGGGATCTTCTTGAGCCAGGAATCGAAGCCAGGTCTCCTGCATTGCAGGCAGATTTTTACTGGCTGAGCTATGAGGGAAGCCTAAAATTGATGAGTGCTATTTAAAATGTGAGCTCCATATCTAGAAGAAGTAACCAGGGAGAATTCAGTTTACGGGCTCCTGTACAGTGCCATCACAGGAACCGATCAGACAAAATAGAAAGTGCAAAGTCCAAATGTCCTTGAAAGTAGAGCCTGTGAAAAAGATGGAGTTCCAAACAAGTTGAGAGAGAATGGACTTAATAACCAATGGATTATAACAGATGGATTTAAGGCAAACGGCTAGTTCAGTTCAGTTCAGTCTCTCGGTCGTGTCCGACTCTTTGCGACCCATGGACTGCAGCACGCCAGGCCTCCCTGTCCATCACCAAGTCCCAGAGTTTACCCAAACTCATGTTCATCGAGTCGGTGATGCCATCCAACCATCTCATCCTCTGTGTCCCCTTCTCCTCCTGCCTATAATCTTTTCCAGCATCAGGGTCTTTTCAAATGAGTCAGCTCTTCAAATCAGGTGGCCAAAGGATTGGAGTTTCAGCTTCAGCATCAGTCCTTCCAATGAACACCCAGGACTGATTTCCTTTAGGATGAACTGGTTGGATCTCCTTGCAGTCCAAGGGACTCTCAAGAATCTTCTCCAACACCACAGTTCAAAAGCACCAATTCTTTGGCACTCAGCTTTCTTTATAGTCCAACTCTCATACCTATACATGACTACTGGAAAAACCATAGCTTTGACTAGAGGGACCTTTGTTGGCAAAGTAATGTCTCTGCTTTTTAATATGCTATCTAGGTTGGTCATAATTTTCCTTCCAAGGAGTAAGCATCTTTTAATTTCATGGCTGTAATCACCATCTGCAGTGATTTTGGAGCCCAAAAAAATAAAGTAAGCCACTGTTTCCCCATCTATTTGCCATGAAGTGAACAGTATGAAAAGGCAAATGGCTAAATATTTTGTAAATATAACATCAGATCTCTGCTTCAATCAGGTAAACATAGAACATGGAATCATAAAGGCACTACACACTATGAATCACAGTTTATCGTGGCTTTCCAGTTTGCACACGGTAGGACTCCGTGGGGAGGTAGGTGGCCCACGGCACCTGTATGTCTCCAAGCTCCTCAGAGGTCTCCACCCTTCCGCCAATGTACAGAACCACAACACAGGTCAGTGTTTTTATAAGATTTGCTTTGGGAAGACGCACCACAACAAAGGAAAAGACTGAAATTTTTAAATTGCTTAATAATGAGAACTGTCTTTGCTTCCACAAATTTAAAATATATAAGCATCTGGGACTTCTCTGGGGGTCCAGTGACTAAGGCTCCGCACCTTCAATGCAGGGGCCAGGTTTGATCCAGAGAACTAATTTCCACATGCCGTAACTAAAGATGCTGCATGCCGCGACTATGACCTGGAGCAGTCAAATATCTAAAGTAACTAATTTTTTAAAATATATACACTTTAAAAGGGAATTGTCACACTGCATGTGTAATACTGATGCAAAGAACTAACTCATTTGAAAAGACCCTGATGCTGGGAAAGATTGAAGGCAGGAGGAGAAGGGGACGACAGAGGGTGAGATGGTCGAATGGCATCACCAGTTCAATGGACATGAGTTTGACTAAACTCTGGGAGTTGGTGATGGACAGGGAGGCTGGGCCTGCTGCAGACCATGGGGTCACAAAGAGTCGGACAAGACTGAGTAACGGAACTGAACTGAGCTGATGTATAACGTGTATTGAACATTTGTCTGGATAGAAAAAGGAAAACATGTTAAAGTAAATTGGACATTAGTCACCCTCTTAAGTGCTTGCCATCACTCATTCCCCCAAAACCTGTATCAAGTGCTTACTGCATGCCAGCCTCTGTTAGATGCTAGATGAGAATAAAAAGATAGTTTTTTAAAAAAGGGAATTGACAACCTTGAATTTTTTGCAGCTGTATGACTGGCACAAGATGAATATTCCAATGAAGAGGTCGTAGAGCTCAAAAAGAAATCCAATCATCAACACACATGTGTGTATACACATCCCCTCCAACACAGAAATGGCTGATGATGAAAGTGATAAACAGAATATGTCAACAAAGCAATGGAAGTGGGTTCTATTTCACCAGGAATAAAAGAAATGCAAAACTAACCTTTGTTATTTGAAATATTGATCAAATGCATTTTTTAACTGAAATGCTTCCACGTTGGCCAATGTGTGAAGACTGATGCTGTCTTATTGTCGAAGCGAACAGAGACGTGGGGAGCTTGCAGACACATCCTGCATCTGACCTCAGCGACTCCACTTCCGAGTCTTCATCTCATGAATCTCCCCTGTGGCTGCTGCGGCAAATCATCTCTCCCCCTCCAAGGCTCAGCACCCCTTTCGGGGGCACCCCTGGCAGGATGCCCAGAGGCCTCTGCACACTGTCCCCGTCGCTTCTGCATTTGGGACTCTTTGTTTCCCGGTGTCCTCCT